CGCCGGTGTGTCACGACCATCAGGTCAACGCAGAAAGGTTGCTGATGCTCAGTGGGTATGTCGAACTGAACCCTGGACCGGTGCTCCAGGCGTTACAATGGAATGCAGGAGGTCTTTCCGATTGGAAACGAGAAAAGCTTCTGGGAGAGATCCACATAATTCTGTTGCAAGAGACACAATTCGCGGAGGCGGAGGTGGATCGCTTTAGTATTTCCCAAAACCAACCTCTCGGTTTTGCTAGGCCAACGGAATCGAGAGGTCGAGGAGGGGGGTGTCCATTCTCATACGAAAGGACATCCCAGTGAGACTCATTTCGAAAGGTCAACAGGACGGTCTTGAGCATGTGTCTATTCGGATGCCGGCTCCGGGAAATATTACTGCGAAGTTTGTTTCAGCGTATACGCCGAATACGGGACTCTACAATACAGAGAACCTGACCGTGCACGACGAAGTGTGGGAAGCCTCCCGGAGTGACACTAGAAAGAGGGGACGCGAAGGGGGACATACTTTTGGAGTGGAGCCAAAAGCATGGATGCAATATAGCGGATAATCCCAATCGCTATACCCGTCCGCCTCGGGGCAACCGAAAGACGAAGACTTCGCCAGACATTACGCTCTGGAAAGGACGCGAAGTCGCGAAGAGGTACACGTTAGCGCCATGCCTGGGCGTTATCGTGTGAGACCCAGATTGGAGACCGCACACCCCTACCTGCGAACAGGGCCCCCCGACGCCCATATCTGTGGAGTAAGGTGGATGCAGGTAGCAAAGGGTAGACGGCGAGAGCGGTCGGCAAGCATCGGATAAGGCAAAGAAAGGAGTGGAGCAAGCATGCACTAAAGACCCACGACGAAAACATGCGGGTAAAGAGAAAAAGCGCATAGATGACCCACCAATACGACAAGGCCGAAAGCGCAATAGCAGCTCTACGGGTCTGTATTGCTGAGTTGCGTACGGCGTTTCTCCCATCGACGCTGATTGTGCAGTTCAATCTTCTTTACCAGGGACTGTGGGAGGGCATCTTTTGCCGGTCCATACTCCATGCTCGTGAGCTCCTTTAGTGTATCATCCCACTCTTCTTGCCAATATAAGGAACATACGGTGCACCCTGTGGTTCTGAAGATTGGTACAGGCGATTAATGTCCGCAAGCCCTTGAGAACTCCACTATTAGTTGAACATGAGCACCCACTCACGCAGCGAGCCCAAGCCAAGCGCCCAGTCCGACATTCTACGTGTAGAACACCTGGAGCCTCCTGCACGGGGCAAGAAATCGTCGAGTAGACACAAGGTGTTCCTGTGGCGCACGCCGGTGTGTCACGACCATCAGGTCAACGCAGAAAGGTTGCTGATGCTCAGTGGGTATGTCGAACTGAACCCTGGACCGGTGCTCCAGGCGTTACAATGGAATGCAGGAGGTCTTTCCGATTGGAAACGAGAAAAGCTTCTGGGAGAGATCCACAAAATTCTGTTTGGGGCGTTTTTTCCACCGGGCGCCTAACAACCGCCTCAGGAATGAGTGGCCTTTTGGGGAAGCGGCACTTTCCGTGCGGGCCGTCGCCCTTAAGAGGCCCCCCAGGCGCGGGGGCGGCTGGCGCCGGCGCCAGATTCCGAAAACGCCCCCAGCGCGCCCCCCCGAACCCCCCGTCAACGCGGGGCGGTCGCTGGACGGCCCCTTGCCGTTCATTAAAGGAACGAGGCCTTTGGGCGCCCCATTTATGCAGTCCAAAGAGCTCGCCCGGCACCGGGGGATGCCCTCTTCGTTGATTTTCGGGGGCGCAGCGGCGGCGCGCCTGCTTCTTTTTTTTTTTGCCCCCGACCCCAGCCAGCTCTGCTTAAAGGGCCATCGTTGTCTCAACTGCCCGTCGCCGCCCTGGGCCTGGCGGGGCCCCGCTTGTTTCGCCCACACGTTTTGAAGCCACGGGAGGCAAATGACGCGCCCACTTGCCGCCGTGCTTTTTTCGGTGTTTTCTTCCTTTCGGAGCCCGCCAATCCCTCCCAAACCCATCGCCCGTCGAATATCTTTGGCCGGGATGGGACACGCACCGGACCGCTCTTCCGCAAGAGTCCACGGTTTTGTTTTACCTTTTTTTCGGTTTTTGCTCCCCCCCCCCCCGGGGGTTGCGGGAGAGATTTCGTGCGCGCCCCCGCGCGGTTGGTTTTCTTTTCGGCCCCTTCCAAGGCCGGGAAACCCTTTCCTCTGGCGGGACTCGCCCGAGACCCCTCCGGTTGGTTCGACCCCCTTTAAGAACCCTTTGCCCACTGGTTCTGCGGTTTCAAAAATGGCTGTTTTTTAAGGTCATAAGGGCTGGGAAACGGGGGTGGGGCCGCCTCCTTTTCCCCGTTCGGATTTCCGGCGGGTTTTGTTTCCCGGTCACCCAAGGCGCGGGTGCAACTCTTGTACGCCAAGACCCCCTCTAGGGAATCTGTGCTAAGCCGTAAATTGTGAATTTTAGTGCTTGCGCTTGTGTTTCGGTATTCTAGTTGGCTTTTGGTGCCGTCTG